CGGACAATACGTGGCCGCGTGTCTCGAAAGTATTGAAGTCGTTGAACCGTTGCCGTGAGGTATGCACTATGTTAATAGTATGGTAATGCGACACGAGCGGGGATATTACCGCTGGAAAACGCTCGCGCGAGCGCGAGCGCACCGATAAAATGACTAATAAAATGACGATTACGCCGGGCCGGGGCCTAATGAGGGGAACCCATTAATCTACTGGCGTGATTAGCGCGATGTAAACGGCGCGCGCGCGCGCGCGAAGGTCGACGGCGAGAATTCACCTATGCCCGATTATTTACGGGCGCGCTCGTAGCTCATCGTCTTTACCTCCGGGCGGTCCACGCACGTCGTTCCGAAGGCATTACTACACGGAGTCGTCGGCGCTAAATTCATTGCGCAACGTTGTATCTTTTAGCTCGAGACATACATCGCGACGGCTTGTTCGAGCTTCGAGGGGGATGCGCTTGAATAGCTAGAGAAGTTGGCGCGGTGCACGAGTTTTTAATTTCGAATAATTATGTTGAAATGCAGTGAGAGCCGTGCGCGTTTAAATCGTGGCTTAAATTTAGCAGCGTGAAATGTTATTATTTTTAATGAGGATTAATCTAAATATAAATTGCACGGAGAAAATCCATGCATTAAAATAGAAATATTTTTAAACGGTTGGCAGCGTTCGAAGAAAGATGCAAAATTATGGGAGCACAGATTGAAATAAATTTTATAGATAAATTTACTATGATTTCATTCAAATCTTTGAAATGTTAACGGCGAGACTAGTTTTTAGGACACGCTGTATATTAAGGGTTAACTATACGCATTTCAAAACTTTGAGAAAAGGCAGCAGTGTCTATTTTACGACTCGGTTGACGTCGGCGTTCTTATCGAGCGACATCCGCGAAAACCGAGTCGACACAACGTTGCGGAGGTCGCGCGGTATCGCGAGTCGCGTAATATCTCTGTAATAGCCGTTAACGACACGGAGGGTGTAAACGCGGGTGAAACGCAGTAGCGAGGATTGGAACGTTAAACCGCAAAATGAGCGTGTGCGGTTTTACGCGCTCGTGTGCCGCACTGCTTAAATAAAGATACGTGAAATACTCGGCCGGGCATATATCCGCGGCCATTAAAATCATCCTACACTTGCGCGCGCGCGCGCGCCGGGCCCCGCGTTACAACTACATTTAACGATACATAAAGCTCTCCCGTCGGCCATTAAGACGTGATTATCTTTAGACAATGGCCTTTTCACACACGCACACGCACACACAACATTCCCGTGGTCGTTATTAGCGGGAATTGAGTGGTAACCGAATTAACGAGTGTGTTCTTTGTGCCACGTGTACCGCGACGCGGATTCATGAGCTCGCTGAAAGAAGCGTGTTCCACCCGTCAAACGCAACGGTATCGTCGATACTGTCGACGAGCGATCGGTTATTACTGTTCTTACCGTTAACCACTTGAGTATCCAACGACTCTCAAAACGTTGATGAGAAAAAAAACGATTGTTTTCGAATGCTTGAACGGACGTGTAGCGGGCATTAAAAAACGCCAACAAGTCCGCGAAAGAAAATTGTGTACGAAGAGAAAAAGAAGAATTTGCCGGCACCGCAAATTTTATGCTGCTACAGCAAGATATCTCGATTATTACGCGAACAGCGAGGAAATTTTTCTTGTGAATACTAATTTTATTTGTTGAAAATAATTTTTATACGATAAATTGATTTTTATCTTGTCAGAATTTTTATCGGCAACGACAATTTCGCCGCAACAGTAATATGCGTTTGTTGGAAATAAGTTACTTTGTTGTTGCAGCAAATTAATCTTTACGAGCAAACGTACTTTGCCAAATTTATCTATTCCGTCGCCATCGCGTCTAACATGTGATAGCAAAATTCTTTTTTTCCGTCCAGATACAAATGGCGAAATTGTTACGCCTGAGAAACGCGAATTCTTACGAATTCTTCAATCTCGAATGATTGAATTAGCTTCGGCTAAATAAGCATTATTTTTAACCAAGTTTCTGCTTAACGCGAATCGGGGAGAGGAGTATCTCAAGAAAATACGATATGCCGCACCGCAAAGTCAGTGAAAATCACAAACGCAGCGGCTGCTGCTCGATTCGTTGGTAATCGAATCACTCGCGCGCAGCTCGCTAATTCGATTCCGTCCGTTTTCGCGGCGTAATCGCGTTAATATTGGTCCGGGAAACAGGAAGACCGAGCTTACCCACCGACTTCATTAAGACCGCGCTCGCTTCTAGCCTTCGCGCGGGATCTCGCTGTCGCGTTTACTTCGTTAGCTAAGGATCTCGATAAGAGGAAGTAACCTCCGCCGAGTTCATTGGCCTCGCGCTCTCCGTATCGAGCGTTTAGCATACGCATTTCGGACGGAAGACTCATCCCGACAGTTTTTTATATTGCGTCCGATGATTGTCGTGAATATCGCGCATTTTAATCCCCGTTATTATTACACCGAGATAATCGAGAATTACAACGTGTCCGCTCGCGGATTAACGATCGCACCGAGATTCGCGCGAAAGACGGGCGAAATCGAAGAAGTCGACGGACGATACGCCTGAGTTTCGCTAATGATCGCAGTGGCAATTAGTTAGGGCCCCTCCCTGTAAATCTTCTCTAACTAATTACCCTTTACACTCCCAACCCCTCCCGATGAAGAGAGGACCACACGGGCTCTCTCGCACGGGCGACCTCGCGGTTAAACGCTAATTATTATCCTTGTCTGCGATAAATTAAACTGCCAGAGTCCACCGTCGAATATGGCTTTCGCGCGTATGCGCGCCGCTTGATGGAGGACGGCAACGGACGTAACGCGTTGCGCTGCCCTCCCGCTTGTTAGATTTGTGTTATCCTTCCATTCTGCAGAGTTAATTCGCGCCGCGAAAAATCGCGCCTTTATTCGCGCGTCTTTGCCGTTGCCGGCGAACCTCCGCGGCGAGCGAAAATAAGACGACTAATGAATATGAAATTTATCTACTATTGTGATTTTTGCACGGCTCTTTCCTTTTGTCATTTGACATGCGAACTCAATCATATTTAATCACAATTTTATCATACGTTTCAACGTTTTCATTTCGTCGCATTTTTCGCGCTTTATTTCCGACGTATTGCAAAGTTGGGAGGTTTTATCTTGGAGAATAACTTTCTCCATCTATGTGCGATAAATGTTTTATGACAAGTGCGGGAAGAATTTACATACAACTCGCCGCACTCACTACATTATTCATTTTCCACGATAAACATTCGAGTTCCGACTATAGTGGCGGATACTTGCGCGGGTTCATTACACCATCGTTAGCGACGTTCATCTAATTAGCTTTGCTATAGCCCGCTAATAAAGACGCGCAAGGCAGCGACGGGCTGTTCGCCGAAGACGTACGATATTCATGCGAGTATTCGTAGTATTCGCGAGGTAGTATTCGAGGGATTCTGGTATTCAGGATGAGAAGTACCGTGCGACGCCGCTCTCGCGGCTCCGCGATTCGTCGGATACGGCGGAAACCGACGTTAAAATATCGGTATGTCGATTATCGAGAATAAATAACGAATGAGATAACGAGAAACCGCGTCTCTTCACTTATCGGCTCGATTTATACTCTCCGCGTGTATCGTAAAATTCCAGCAAAATGCTGGCAATGTTGCTATTCTAATTACTTTTACTTTAATTTATTTTGATTTGAAGACGATGATCACGTATGATTATTTTTTACATAAATTTCATGATTCTTTTTAAACAAAATTTTTTAATTTTACTGCCGCAGCGAAATTAGATAGAATTTCATAACTAATTTTTTTCGGTAGATCAGCGAAATTTGTTTTGTTGACAAATAGATAAATTTTGCGTGGTATATTTGTTCGTAACGACACATTGATTTGCTGCTACATGATAATTTATTTCTAAAAAATGCAGCGAATATGTCGCCGCTAATAGCAATTTCGATAGCAAGGTAAAAATAAGTTTGTTGTAGTAGCTGAAAATTGTGTTCGACAAATAAAATTAACATTCTGCAACGAATCTAAAATTCGGCAAAATTCAAGAATTTCAAAAACCGTAAAATGAGTTTCATAGCGAAGTAGCAGTTCTGAAGAGTAACTGGACAGAAGAAACGAATAAAGCTTATCTTCTCCGAGGATCGGAATTGCAGGGGACGCGGACGTTCAGGACATTTTCCGTTATTGCAAATTAAACTCCTCTCGTAGATGCCGCCCGATCCTTTTCGGGTATCCCGTCGTTTTCCTTCGCCGGGGAATCGATTCGTTACATTGCGGTAGATTCTCTCCGAGGGAATCTCTCCAGGAAACGGTCTGGAAATGACTCGGAGTGGTGGGGGCGGTTTGCAAGAAGGTCGCGCCGTGACCTTCGCTCCGTCGAATCCGCCGGCAGCCTCATCCCGTCACGTAGCCTCGATAGGACGCGTAATGACAGCGCCGAGAAGAGATGCGCGCGGCCGCCGATGGCGAATTCGATCGCGACGCCGAATAGATTGCGCATCGGCGCGCACCGATCGCCCATCATCATCATCATCACCGAAACGTGATCGCTACCGGCATTAACTCGCACGTTTCCCTCCCCCTCTCCTCTGATGCAACAATCATCGCCAATTTGCCGTGCAGATATTGCCGCGCGTAGCAGATGCCACCCCTCGCGCGCCATTCTTTCCTCCTCCGCGAGTCATTGTTCGTAATCAATCGGAATGACGTTCTCCGACGGGCTCAACGATTCTCGCGGACATCTTGCGAAAGACGAATCTGTTCCGAGGAGAAATCTTCATCAACTTGCTGTGAATTCTGAAGAATTAATTTTTGCAGGATGAAAAAACCATAAATTGAAGCAAAGAATATTGCTCTATAATTATTTTCTAACACTTTTACAGGACGTGTCTATTGCGATTTTTGTAATGCACGAAGTGTTATAAAGTTATTCAACATTGCGTTCTTTTTTTCAAAACTCATGTTCGGGATACGTAAACGCCGTTTTCTTGATTGCAGATTCCCAAATGGAGCAAGGCTATCGATCGGAGGTTCAGGAGCGAGCGCTCGTCGTATCACTGCAGATGTTCAGTCTGATCTTGGAACGCGGTGTATCCCTTCTGAAAGCTCAGTTAGATAGCCGACAGGAACCGAGGCTTGTGGTCGGCGAGGATCTGCAAGTGCTTCTACCCGCTATTAAGGTACCTCTCCCCCTCCCCCCCCCCCAACATCGCCGGTCAATACGTATCGGTTGAGCGAAGTCTTAATTGCGTTTCGCGACGCGAGTCGGCAAGCGTAAGTCAATTTCCGAGTCGAAACGCTCACTCGATCACGTCCATCGTTCGTGGCTCGCCATTACCGGATAATTAGATCTGAAACAGTGACGGCCAACCTCCTACTTTCTTCCTCGAAAGCGGCAATTCGATATTCCGAAATCGCGAGATCCGATATGAGAGCGCGTTGCAAAAAAGTCGTTTTTCGTCTATTGTCCGCTCGTCGCGATTAGTTTCATTCGGTTCCGCTTCGCGTCGGACGATCTACGGCGGACTGCCGGTTGGCTGTCACTGATCTCAGTTGGCTATCACTGATGACTTGATTGCACTTAGACTCAGACCTGGAAGACGTCAGGTTTTCCTTCGCGAGTTTCATTCTTTTTCCCGTCGCTTCCGCGGCTCGGCGTGCCAACGCGTCTAACCGGCGCGTCAGTTTTTTACAACCAAATTGGATGCAAAATCCGGTCGTATCACGATTTATCGCGCAACTCAATAAACTTATCGCACACGCGAGCTCAGCTTAGAAATTATTCGTCGGTCGGAAATCACATCAAACACCGATCAGAAAAGATCAGATTAAATCTGAAGAATGTGATTATTCGTAGTTTCTTCGGATCGACATTGAGAAGACCGAATTATCGCTGGCTAACTTTTGCCGCGTTTTGTTGGGCAAATATTTTGCCAATATGTTGCCCCGCGAATTTAACGCGTCGACATAACTGACTAGATAGGCTCGGTTAACGAGAAAGAGGTGTGAGGAAAAAGAAAACAATGATTACTATCGGAATGCGAGCTGATACAAGGAATAATAGCCAGACTCGCGCTTACGAGTGAGGTGAGACCATTAATATTGCCGATAAAGTAGACGCGATACAAGGCCGCTGGAATACGTTTCACTTTATGAGGATGGATGGACGTGCTCGATGAAAAAAGCCACCTCGCGAGAGCGTCTATAAATAGCGAAGTACTTTTGCGCGCTGTCCGCCGGTTGAAAACTTGATAAAGCTGTAAGTGACAGGAATAAAAATATATCTCGGGAAAAAGGTATTTTCCGAAAGCACGCTAGACACATATTTACGGGAGAAAATGACCTGAAGGTGTCTACAAGTCGAGAAGATAAATTCCGTTGGTTTTGTAAATATTGCTTGCAGTCTTTCATAATGCAAATTTTCGGGGCGCGCAGAGTCGATTTTCGGTGGAAAATAACCTTTCAAAAATACGATCTCGCTTCTTTTATGAAGTTTTCATCATCTTTCACATTTGTTTGTGCAGATTTGGTGCGACTGGATGCTCTGCCACAGCACTGTCTGGAATCCACCGCCGTCTTGCACGGATTACAGAGTCGGGTAAGTTTCTTAAACTCAATAAATGAAATGAAATTAACGTACACGCGACCTTTAGTCAGACGTGTAATCCACGGCGTGACGTCTAATCTCTTTATATTGTTTCGCAACGCACGGACAAGTTTCGTTCGGCTTATGGATCGTCCTGCTCTGAATTAATTATAACTTTGCGCGCGCACTAACCGCCGCGTCGCAAAGTCGCAGCGTCGGGATTAAAGTTAGCTGCCAGCCCGTGAAAACGAACGTCGCGCGTAAAGGTAATAGCTTATGGCAAGAATGCTCGATATATCGCGAACTTTCCGATCTTGCGGTTTTCGCGGTCTGCGGTCTGAATCGGTCCATTGCTTTCCAACCGGGATGCTACACGACATTACGGCAGTTGGGAATTCGCGCTGCGAGAATAAAAGTGCGCATTTATCGAAGTTTGTATGCATAATCTTGGACGACGGATCGCCAAAGTTGCTTGCCACTACGATCGCCTGTTTATTTATTATCGATTATCATTTGGAGCAAATCAGTGATTTATATAATTGCGTGCGTGATTAATATAACGAGAGATCATTTTTATTTTTTGTGATTAAAGAAACACATTGATATCCTAGATATTGATTGATTTCGTCGCCCTTATTTGGAAACATCACCGACTCTGAATTTAGTTATTTTCAAAGTCTTTACAATTAATTACGAAAATTAATTACGAGGAACGATATTAATTCAACAGTTGTTATTCGATTGCCTTTAGCCTCAGGGTTTTCGGTTCTTGCTGCGCGTTTTTTAAGAGGAACGAAGTACACGGTGTGATTATGCTCACTTGTTTAGTCTCGGATTAACTTATGTTAGATTTTGAGAATGATAGATCATCTGTATGCGAGCACCGTCGATCGTGTTGTGATCCTATCATGTTTGACTATCGCATCGAGATGGATCGTAATCGCGCGTTTATTCAAAGACGCCTCAGGCCTTCCGACTTTCAAAAATTCTTTTTTTCTGCATGAATCTGATTTTCAGCTTAACGATATTGTTTTTGAGGGAATAACAGAATCGAAAGGGCAAGGCGACAAATTAGCAACAAAGGAGCATCGAATTCCTGTCTACGTTTCATTCGATTGACCGTGCGGGCTTAATAGACACGAGCATGTTCTAGCAAGAGCCGATATCTCGGGGGGGAGGGGAGGTGATGGAAGTGAGCGTGGCGTAGGTCACGGTCAACCGCTGCTTCGTATCGAGGCTCGATCTCTCGAGTCGCGCGCGCAAACCGTGCGCAGGTTCCCGCGGCACTATTTCTACCATGCTTCTTTCGCTTCGTCGCGAATGCATAAGTTACTGTCCCGCTTTAATTATTACCGCATCGGTTCTAATTTCAAGGAAGAGAGAGAATGCGAGAGAATGTTTTGCACAACGTGTGCGCGCACGGAATGATGGTCTATATCCCGCTTTTGTCAAACGGATTAATCCTTTGCAGCGCGAAGATGTGAGAGAGAGAGAGAGAGAGAGAGAGAGAGAGAGAGAGAGAGAGAGAGAGAGAGAGAGAGAGAGAAAGAGAGAGATTTGTAGGGTGGCTTTCGCCAGCTCGCGCGCCGCATTCGGCTCCGACTGCGTCGCAGCTGCGCGGAGCGACTATTAATTCAGGTTGACACTTGAGGTGTTTTGAATTATGGCTGTTGTATCGGACTATTAATTTCCTCGCGCGGTGATGCCTCGGCGAATCGCATGCAGTGTGAGAAATTCCGCAGGTAAAGACGTCGCGACACCCGCGGCGGTCGGACGACGTTCCCGCGGCGCGACACGTGTTTGTGATTGTAACGTCCCATTCCGATTCATAATTCTTCTATGGGAACCGCCGCCGCGATTTTGATCAACAAGTTTCCGGAAAATTGAGAAAATCAACCGCGGAGGCTGCTGGTGATATGAATAGTTTAAGTATCCAAAATCTCAAATGGCGCCTAAAAAATTATACCTTGAAGGAATTGTACAAATTTTTACGACGTTTTTCACATGTGAAATACCGCCGTACGTAGTAACTTTTCATATAAAATTATTAGTAGAAATCTAATTAGTTGCGAAAGAGTGAGTATACAAAAATAAATATAAACTTCTAGTCGAGATTCGCGTATTCAATATGCTGACAAAAAATTCGATAATTGAGATTAATTTACAATAGTTAATACGTTTAGCAACGCAAAGTGCTATGTTTTATAATTTAAAGGGTGGTGTAAAAAATTGATTTAAAAAAAATTAGAATCATGTATTTTAATTAAAATGATCGAGAGTTCCCGAGCGCGCCGTTTTAACGTCCGCTTATCAATTCAATTTTATCTGATGATTTTCTACTTGCTGAACTTATGGGGGCAATTTCGACTCGAGCTTCACCATTTCGCACGCGGATCCGCTGGGTCCCCAAATTCTGGCGCGCTGAGTCACGCCGCTAAATAAGAGGTCCGAAAGTACGGGGAAATCCTGACGTCCCGCGGCGCGCTCGAAGGACCCGAAGGGCCAGCGTTTCACAAAGGGTCGGCAGCGAATTGATCATCCGCGAGCGTGAGCGAATACTTTCCGGCGCGCGTTTCGTGCGCGCTCGCATAGACGACGGGAGAAGAAAGATAGAGAGAGAGAGAGAGAGAAAGAAAGAAAACGCGCGGCGCCGTTCATCTTATCGACGCACGGCGCGTCGTCGCTTCTCGGCGCGAGTTCCGCTAATGAGATAAAATAAAAGAAGAATAAGAGCGAGGGAAAAGAGCGCGAGAGTCACGCTTGTCCGACTGATGCAATCTACCGTCCATTAAACGAGCCTCAAGGCTCCCTCCCCCTGTATCTTTCTCTCTCTGTTTCTGCCTCTCTTCTCTCTCTCTCTTCTCTCTCTCTCTCTCTCTCTCTCTCTCTCTCTTTCTTGCAACGTCGTTCTCGAGACGCGCGCTTCTTTGCGTAACCAACGTAGCCACTATCCGGCTGGGATAGGTTAATTATTGTTGCTTGTTAGCGATTAACAATTACATGAGTCAAGCGTTTCCTTGGCAAGGACGCCGCATAGCGCGAGACGCGACCGCCGATCCCCTCGCGATTTTGATTGCCATCACGCATAGAACGGCTGGAGGAACGATTCGACGCGGATTCTGCGATGCGAGTGCCGTTGCAGGCGCGACTAACCGATGACCTTTAACGATGCCGGTCGATTAATCGTGCCGGAAATCGCAAGCGCGGAATATTTTTGCTCCGCCGCGAAATTAAGTTCTCTCTCTCGAGTCCCTTCGCGATTCTTACGCGATCTTCTGCATCGTCACTCGGGTTGTGCGTACAAATTCTAAAATTTTTTTAGTTAAAACGATACAATAAACAATGATTAAATCCTTTTCCCTATCTTCATCGCAGAGCAAGAGACAGTCGGCGCCATTTTTATTTTATAAAGAAATAATGCAACCGTGTGTATTTCCGCAGAATTATCGCGCAAGCGTTTTGAAGTTGTTTGCATTTTGCAGTAGCGAAGAATCGCTAGGGACGAGAGCAGAGCCATCGCTCCGACCACCCCTGCTTACGATCCTAAAGTCGCCATGCGTAATTAATTGAGCGCGAGACATTGGTTTTACAGTAATACGGAAGTGGTGAATGGCAACGCATGTCCCGCCGCGGGTAGATCATTAATAACGTCGGCGAAACGAGCCGCCGCCGGTCGTACGAAGTACATTAAATGTATAAATCCGTGATCTATTATTATTATCCATCGCGCGCGGCGCGCATTACGCGAGGCCCGCCGCAATAATTTCCAATATGTAATTCTCGGCGTCGGTGATAAATAGCCGCGCGGGGATATATATTCGCGGAGACGGCGCGTCCGTCCGTCTCATTCACGCCGCACAAAACGGCGAGATGTAAATTTTATATCGTCTGTTTTTCAGCCGCGCCTGAGTCGCGTCGCGGATTTATCGGCACGAGAGGTGTAAATCCGCGAAAGGCAGACGCGGGAACTCGACGCGCGTCCTGTCGGCAGCCACTCGTTTAACCGCGAATCTTGGAAATATCTCTGCACCTGCGTGCGAAGAATCGAAACATTATTTTCGGCAAAACAGAATTCCATTCCGGGCGCTCCCTCGGTCCCCTCGTCATCGCGCGCGGTAATTGCACGCTGTGCGGCAAGAACTCGTCGCGTGACGAATGATCCAGAACCCGAAAATATTTACTTTGTGTACAGGTAATACGCCGACAGCCTGGTAGCGACGAAAAATCAAGTAGCAAATTGCCCGGTTATCTTTTTTCATAAGCAAATGTTTGAGCAAGTGTTGTTTACACAGTCGGCCACCTCGTAAGTTTCCGGGCGTTTGTGTGTGCCGTCACTCTTACAAAAACAATAATGGGGAATCTGAAACCCGTAGAAAATTAGTCCCGGATATTACCGAGAGTACATAAAAAAGGTTCGTCGGCCTCGAGGCGCCACAGCGGCGTCGAGTAACGTTAGAAAGTTCTGTAAGAAATATACTTTGGACGAGAATTGAGAATTATTAGCATCTCAAAGCGACGCGAATCACAAATCACCGCTCGATGACTCAATCTTCGTGGCAAGTTCGATTTAATCACGCGGAACGAATTCGACATCCGGCCTTGACATTATCGAAATCATTCCTTGTTTGTATTCAAATTACATGTCGAAAGAACGATCGAGTTCTTTTCAGAATTTTGTGAAATTATGAAAGACGTTGAGACGCAACGCTCATTCTTGACGAATGCTTGCGCGAAATTTAAAGGAAGCTTTAACTGGATCCTCTCGTTTGTTGCAGGCCGCCTGGAGATGCATGGAGTAGACTGGCGACAATGGTGAATCTTCTAGAAAAATTAAATTACACCAGGACAACCTTGATTCAAGGCAAGGATGCCGAGGGTCGCGAAGAAGGTAAGAAATTGTCAGTTAGCCGCTTCACCGCTTCACGTTTCAGACGAAAAAGCGCTCGCTGTGCGATACTTGCGTGTGTATGTTGATCGTTAGATTCCTACGCACATGTCATCGCTGGGTCGCTGAATATATTCGTCGTCCGTTAGCTAACGTTCTTTAAATATTGTCTTTTGAACTTGGGACTTGAAAATTCCATCGCTAAAATTTCTAAACACAAGTTCCATGAAAACTCTTCGAGGGACACGGCGACAAGTTGACGAGGAATATTTTTAATCGAGAGAGAAACGACCAAGAGAGGAGGCGAGAGCGATTCTCGCGGATTTGGCTTAATTGAAAAAGCCGCGTTCCTCAGTTCGGCGAAGTCTGTGCCCGATCTGTTGACCTGTAGCTGGCGCGACGGTTGCGTAACGGTGAATACGACGTTCGACATGACCACTGCAGTGCCATTCTCTCGCGGCCGTTTGCTAGCGTGCGGCCGATAGTCTTCCAGCGTGCGTGCGGGCCTACATCGCCACTATATGCTCGCCGCGCGCATGTTATGAATACGCAAATTGCATTGCCCCGAAGTTCATTCACGTGTAGACTTCGCCGCGAAGACGGCTCGACGACATCTTCTCACAGCCGATTTTTCGCCAGCACGAATCTGCCGCTCATTGTCGACGCATCCGGCCGCGCGGCATCGTTAAGCTCTTCAAGCCGCGGAAAAGTCGATGCGGAATTAATAGCTGATTTTTGTTTCAGAGTAAACTTTTTAAGAATGTGCAAATAAAGTTTCTTCTCTTAATTCTGTACATCAATAATATTGCATTAATTGTATTACATTGAAATCTTTAGACATTTTAGAAATAATTAGCGTCGTGTCATTAATCGCGAAAGTGATAAACACTGATTTCTTATATTTATTCGTAGTTTTTTTTTTTTTTATTTCGCTGCGATAATTGATTCTCTCGGCTTTGTCGAGGAACGTCGTCGTCAGCAATTATTCGCAGACTGACGTGGGCTCCGTGGCCGGAAGCGTGGGCCGGGAACGCGTGCGTTCGTGAGCGGAACGCGACGAATTTTTCATTTTTGTCAGATCATTAGACGTGATCGCGAGTTCTGTGTCGAACTGGGTCTTCCAACGGGTCCGGTCGTCTGGAAACGAGCGTTCCAGTTTCGCGGCGCGTCCTTGCTCGCGGTACACTTACCTCTAAACCGAGTATGTATGTATATGGACGACAGTACGCGTTACTCATGGCAAATATCGCTATGCGCGGTGAGGTAGAGCTCTGATCACACGGCTGACTAGAATTAATAAGGCTGTTGACTTTGCCGAGACCACAGTCGACCTTTCGTCACTATCGCCAGTCTGGAGATCATTAGCAGGAAAGAAAAGCCCGATCTTTTATTTTATTATTGATTATTCGAATTTAAGCAATGTTTTTGCACCTGAAACGCACCTCATTAAACATTTCTATAGAATTCTTTACGCATGTTTTTTTATGACTAAATTTGATTCGCAAAATGATGTAGTTGTTATCAATAATTATGATGTTTTTACAGAGCAATTAATAATTGTCATTTTTTATATTTTCATCTGAATTGAACAAAACTAAAATTGTAAAAGATTAATTTTTCACAAGTATATCTTTTTGTAATTTGCGTACAAAAAATTTTGAAAATTTTTACGTTACTGGCTAAAATGTAGTAATTACTATTGTATCAGTTTTATTTTAGAAATTGTAATTTTATCAATAATTTTTATCAAAATCTAATGCCAAGACCTCTGTGAAGTTGGCCCCTCATTTTTTAAAACAATAATTAGAGTTTTGGATGCCTCCCGAAGAGTTCTAGCGATAATTATTAACACTCGAAGCGCTCCGAGGCGAAATAAACAAGTTCTCGATGATTGAAGTTACGGGTTCGAAAAATTTCTAACAAAAATTTTTCTCGGTAACCGGCAGTTCTGTTGAGAGTTCTGGACGCCCCCCGAAGAGTTTTAGCGATAATTATTAACACTCGAAGCGCTCCGAGGCGAAATAAAAAAAGTTCTCCATGGTTGAAGTTACGGGTTCGAAAAATTTCCAACAAAAATTTTTCTCGATAACCGGCAATTCTGTTGAGAGTTCTGTATAGTCCTTCACGAGTTTTAACGATTATCCTTAAGGCTCAAAACGCTAAAACCAAAATTGAACGAGTCCTTGCTATTTTTCGTCTTCTAAGTCGAGAATTTCAAATTTAATTTTCGTAGTATTTCGAGCAGAACTATTTTTGAAACTTATCTAGAACTATAGAACTATTTGAAATCTACTCAGAACTATAAAAAAATTTGGATTTTTTACATAATGGGGGGCGTCGTGAAGTTAGCCCTTCGATTTTTCAAATGGTGTTTTCTTTACTTTAAATGGCATTCAAAACTCTAATCATTTTTTTCAATTTTAAAAAATGGAGGGCCAACTTCACATAGGTTATGCCAAGTGCAATAGGCGACGTCAGAATGCAATGAGAATGCACATTTTACAAATTCTAAACCATGCTGCATAAATATTTGAGCTCCTTTCACGATACGTGATGTGGATCTTTGTGCGTTGCTCGCGTAAATTCAGGGTCGTGTCGCTGGAAGAAAATCAGATTTGGCACGATCGCAGAATTTTATGCGCGAAGCATCAATTCCCGTGCATACACAGAGTGTACCAAATTTTCGCGTTTTATTTCAGAACTGGAGCTCGTCAAACTGCCGGAAGATATCACATTGGCGGGGTTCACTCCTCTTATGTCGAACCCGCAGGATCCTTGTTATGTTGAAAAAACGGAAGATATGGTAAGTAATTTTGAATTTTTTAAATAAGTCTATTTACTTTTTTGTCGGGCAGAGTGCGGTCTAATTAAGAAGTAAATTAAATGTTTGTTCGTCGCGACATTGTAATCGAGTTCCGTTCGTATCACGATTTTTTTCACGTTGCGTAAACGCGTGCTGTTTCAAAACAACAGCATTGTTTATTACACGTATTGCACAACGCAACACATATTGGCATACCTGCGTACATATTACACGGATATTTACATTTGTCAAAGGAGCTTAAAAGCAGAATTCTATTTGCATTTAAGCGGAGTTCCCGTATCTCGAGAAATTCCAACGTCGCGGAAAGAATTTTAGTATGTCAGGGGTATATTCGTGCTGTCACTCGACATCTATGGCTTGGGTAAACTCGCGAATGCGCTTTCAGGAAGTGGCTCAGGTGTGCCTCAGGATAAGCAAGATCCTCTTCTTCGGTCAAGAGTTCTTGTGCGGCTTGGAGACACCGGTGCTAAAACTGCAGAAGAGTGAGACCGGCGTTAGCGAATATGTCTCTGTGGTCGAAGCCTCGAGCGCAAGTTCACCGAGCTCGCCGCCGACACAGGTACGTGGTAACTGTCGTAAATCTCCAGTTCCCCCCTCAAGAGAGAGAGAGAGAGAGAGAGAACGCGTACAGCTGGCCGTAGAGCCCCGCGGATTCCAGATTCGATCTTTCGAGAACAATAACAATTTCTTTCAGACGAAACAAATAGTTGTGATCTATCTTGAAAGTTTCCCCGCACAACATACATAAAATATGGTTAAAAACGTTTTCAATAATGACGAAAGTAAGAAAGTAATTACACGAAAAGCGGCATACGATAGATTGGAATTTTCCTCCTCGGAACTTCCGATCCATTAAATCGCTGCCACGGTTCGTTACCCCAGCAACGGAATTAATTCACTTTCAGAGCGACTCGGAGCTCATGGTGGAGAGTTACAGCGAAGGAGAGGAGGAGTCGATTTCCACGTTGAGAAGATTACCCTCGTGCGGCAGTATGCCCGACGATACGACGGCTCCCGTGGCGGCGGTCGAGATAAGGTCGCTGATCGAGAGGAAGGAGGAACTGGAGAGGCGGCAGCGGAAACAAGATCGGCATCGACAGCGGGTACAGGTGAGTGTGAAATACCTTACAGCGATACCCCGCGCGTACGCAGCCGGGAATGATCTATCGATCCGTCGGCGATAAGCAACGCCGTGACGAGGTGCTATTTATATGTTGTTACACGCCGAAACGCTCAATTAAAATTGCACGCCGGCGTGACGTGTTTGCTGTCGCGCCGAAACGGGCGGATGAAGTAAGAATAGAAATTTTCGACCAATGTTGTCGCAATCACCTCAATTCGCTGCTGTTGAATCTTTCCTCGCGCGGAGCAGCGCGTGTTCAAACGCTACTTGCATGTCGAAAAATCATACACATTTATTGTAAGCAAGTTAACCGACTTTGCCAACATTATGAATTGCAATTAATTAATTTTCGCATGCGGTTTGTCGGTTGCGCAAAACTACTTGGAAACTGCGATAATCTCTTTCGTACTTTTATCTCAGCTAGTTTAGATTTTAATGGAATTGTTCGCAAGTGGGAAAACTTTTACATTACGATCTCTCTGTTTTATTTCCCAAGAAAATCACGTATGAAATATTTGTGTTAAACAAGTCGTCACGAATCGTACTGCTGCATACTTCGTGCACTTGTGCGACTAATTATTTGAAACTTTCGCGAGCTTCAACGCGGCATTTCGATTTGTACGGTTATTCGCGAGAGCTAATATGAACGGCATTCAAGCCGGGCTCGAGATCGATGAGGAATCTCGCCGCTTCCAAATTTAGCTCGCGCCAATGCGCAGTCTTTCGATAGAGACATCGTTCGTGAACATTGCAGTCGAATGATTGTCTTGACCGCGCGATACTGGTCTAACCGCTGCCTTTATCGCACTCCGTCCTTTCTCTTTTTCGATCTGTCTTCTCGAAAGAACCGACAAAGTGGCGGCCGAACGCATTTGTCGCCGCTAAGTCGAACTAAATCAAGAGATTACAACGCGGCGCAGCCGCTTCGCGAGGACAGAAAAGGAGGCTGCGTCCTCCGCACCCTCGTCTCCTTTTCGCATTCCTCCATCCCCTGTCGCGCCACCCTTCCTTGGCCCTGCCGTCCTTTTATTTCGAATCGCGCGATCATCTCCCGCCGCAGACTCTCGCACAGCACGCAAGCCGTTTTTATTTACGGCATCCAAACTCCTCCTTTTTGCATATTTATTATCCTACCCTAGCTTGAGGCCGGATTTTGCGCATACTATGTGGTCAGCCATGTACTCTCTATACTTCTCAGAACGATATCCTTTTTTTCTCGCAGGGAAAAAAGAAACAAGCGGGAGAGGCCTGCCCAGGGATCTTGTACTCGCGCGATTGTTCTGTTTTTTCAGCTCGATCCCTTCGCGTGGGTATATAAGTTTCGGTTCTACTGTAAGCGTGTGCGTAATACAGATATGGATCTATTTAAATTCTTTTAACAAAAACTCAAATACAATGAAACCCTTTTCAATACACTGGGAGCAAAAATGAAGGAATCGAGAAAATTGCTTAAAAGAAGACGGTTTTCCAACTCCGACGAAAAATCGTCGAATTCTGAGAAAAGCATTTTTGCGAATTTTAATTATTTTTTTAAGTGCATAAGAGTTTTTTGGAATTAAGATTTGATGCAATGCCTTAAAAGTATTTTTTCCAGCAATTTTTTCTTTTAATTGTTGCTCTGTGTGTATTAATAAATATTAAATAGTACAGAGAAGATGTATTTCTACGTCGGTTGGACTATCAAATGCGAGCCCCGGAGCATTTTCCCGGTTTACATTTCTAGTGTGGAGAAAATCCGCGCGAACGATCCGCTTCGAAATTCGCTTCGTCTTATATCAGGCTTTATCGGGCTTTCCCACGCCATCCAAAATGGCGGTATAAATTTCTCGCCGCCTCGCCTCGTATCTCTTGAATTTTTCGATCGGTGCTTTTATCAGAGAACGAAACCGGAGGCGAAACACGGATTTCTCTCCGCAGCTTTCGATCGTAGAATTGTTTCGAGGATAAAGTTCGGCGGAAGACCAGTGTGACCCCGCCGAAATAAATAGCCGCGATATCGTAACTGTCGGTAGTTTGTTCGACAGCCCGGATGCAATTTTATCGCGGGTCGTCTTTCTCCGCCCGGATGCTCTGCTTTTTTTTCTTACTTGGACTTTTTCGCATTCGGGTTTTTTCTCTCGCCAGATGCTGCGTTGCAGTTCGTTTATGCAATGTATATATGCGGGGAGTCGTAAGTTTTTTTTATCTACAACGTTTTTTCCTGAGGGTTTTAGAACTCGCGGAAATCACGTTAAACAACTAACCTGAAACATGACTTTTTTCTTAATTAATACTCTTCTTATATTTCATATTTGTATTGCAGCGAGCATCATACTTTTTTTTCACAGATAATTTAATTCCGAAATGTTACAATTACTTTAAACGATTCAATAATATTCTATGATTGTGCGTGTTTTTATAAGAGCGTAGTTTTTCTCGAAAGTCCTTGGAACAACATTTAAATACTAGCTAAATTGCCTATAATAGCGCCTGAAGCTCGCAGGGTCAATTTTGACGCCTGAATGAGCCTGCTTCGGAATCTAGAACAATCCTGTTGCACGCGTAACATCTCGGAACCAGTTTTTCCGCGGACAACGGTGAACCTGAATTATGCCACTCGAATCGAGTGAATTGCGTTTTACACATCCCGCAAGCTTGAGATTGCCTCAACGCAAATTAGCCTGAGCGAAAGGTTACGTTTAATTGGTTTTGAAATTTCGCGCGTGTCGCGAACCGGTTAAACTGTAAACCTCAAACCGGATTATGCCACTCCAAAAACGGAAATAATTTTTTAACTTTACGGTATTTCGGATACATGTCCATATTTATTCGAGCGTTTCAAAATAGGCATGTACCGTTTTTCATCCATTATTTCGGCGAACGAGATCCCAAAGAACAATCGCGAAATATAGACTATTATTTTTCGGCGGACATTAATTAATTAACTAATTACCGTGTAGCGTGTTGCTCGTTGAACTGAATCTGTAACTTCTGTAATCCCGGAAATTCTACGGTGATGAGTCGATTATATGAGAAATTCTTGCATAAATTGCCTTTTTTTAAAAATTTTTTTTTGAATAAACAAAAAATTTGAGGAAATTGTGCAAACTAAATATGGATATGGATTATTTATGAGCAGACGCTGCTTACACAAAAAAATTTCATAATCAATAATCTCTCACTCGAATTCAAAGAACATGAAATTAATTAAGAAGAGACTTAATGTTATGTAAAAATTTTTTCACTTGATTCCAGCTAGATCGTCTCTAATTATCCAATAATTCCACGCAAATGATGGGTTTCGTTGATTGTCATCAATTTCACCGTGATGGAATTTTTATTTTTAATCCGCCGCTTGTTTTACGCTCGCATGTGCCAAACGAGAGCGCGCGGAGCGAGCTTTCGTCGCGTGTTTTGCAAATAGCCGCGTTACACGGCACGACTTTTTGCGGGTATTTTTTGCACGCCGAACAATCAAAATCGCATTTCGCTCGCTGTTCGTCACATGCTATTGCATCCCGGCGAAGAAGCTGTAAGCCCCCGTCGGTCACGTCGATTAAAACGATATTTCTCTCTGTACGGAGTGGGAAAAAAAAAATGGGAAACAATTTGCGGAACGCGGATAAAAAGCTGCGCGAAGACGCGCCGGATAGATCCGTGGCCTAATTGCCGGGCTCGGTGATAATAGCATTATTCGAGCGCGCCCGCAAATTGCGTCAGAGAAACCGGAATGTACGTACATCGCGAACTGTAACCAATTAATCCTTCATCTGCATCGCCCGTGGTCTTCGGCGATATTTCCTTTTTGCGCACGGCGGCGGCCCGTCATGCTTGGTCGATGAACCATGGACTACTCATGGATTCAGGATAACATCGTAATGCGTCTTAACCACGGGTTCTTTCGGTACGGAGGATATTTAATAACCCACCTTGGCTCCGCCGAATTTTTACTTCTCGAGAAAGAGATCCGCATTTTTCGCCAGTCGTCTTTAATAGTTATTCCGCCGACCTTTGGGGCGATTCCGATGTGAAACAATCGTAAAATTCGTTGCGAATAATATTTCAGTTATAATTGTTTAGAATAATATTTCATCTGTCATAAATATATTTCGATGGCTTTACAAATTATTCGGCACATAAATAAATTTATGAAAGGCGTGAGAGAGAGAATTAAAATCGGGAATAAAGTTTGTTTCGCTGCGTGAAAAAACGGAAGGTAAATACGTATTCTAATATATACTTTACACGCCGCTTGAGAAATGAAATTGCTTAGATTCTGTACATAACAGGCATTCGCTACGCCTGTGTCCCGCTGTTGAAATATCGAACGGGTTCGCCTCTCGTTGCGGTCGGACGACGAAGATGACCGGGCGCGATCCACGGGAAAAAGAACGGAAAGAAGGCGCGCGGCGCGATCGCATGGGCCGAGCTAACGGTAACGCACCGTGATACGAAGGATGCTGCAAGAAGCGATTCATTTCCTCGAGACATTTTTAAACCGCGTATATCGGCTCTAGCGCGCACTGGGAGCTTTACGCGTACCCGAGGCTGCGCCTTAATTTCCACCGCGGGATTGAGGTAATATTGGAACAGGTTGTTTCAGAACAGGAATCAATTTACTTATAGACAATTTTCATAGATTAAGGAAGAGCTGTAACGTATACAATACAGCAATCGCAACGATCAAAATAATTGAAGCCGTTGCTTAAAAAAAGACGCGATAGATATTAAACATTAAAAGATTAAACTAGGATTAAAGGATTGAAAATTAAAACATGAGAGATTAAATTACAGCTCAGAGATTCTTACATTTTGCATGTTCGACTTGGAAACAAAAAAAAGTGAGTATTGAATTCGGACATCTCAGACAATTCAAACAGATCGAGCATTCGCAGTGATCGATTTGTAATCTCAACTCAATATTTAAAATATCTTGTAGTTAACTGAATAAATCAATAGATATACATATTAAATATTATTAAATTTTATAAATATTTACTTATCATA